TGTATGTATGTACGTATGTATGTGATATGCATATCAAATACATGTGTATGTATACATATATATATATATACATGTGCGTATGTATATGCATGCATACATGCATGCATGCATGCATGCATGGATGGATGGTTCATGGATGGATGGATGGGTGGATGGATGGATGGATGGATGCATGGATGTGTGGATGAATATATATATATAAATATATACACACACACATATATGTATGTATGTATGTATGTATGTATGTTTGTATGTATGTATGTATGTGCATGTCCAAGTGACGCTTACCCGAACAGCTGTGGTGTGACCTTGTTTGGCCGGCCCATGTTCGATCTACACCTTTGGCGAGTACATGTAGTCATTGCCATACTTCACAAAGCCTTGTACATTGCCAAATAAGCAATTCAATCCCTGGGCTAAGCTGAAACCCGTAGTCGGCTGGAAGTAATCAACACACAATGCCCCGAAAGAACTGGCACGCGCGTATCTTCAGTGCTCTGTTTCCCCAAAACTCGTCCGAGTCCCAATGTCCCAAATGCTTGCAGCATCTCGAAGGGGCGAACCCTGAAGGAAGTGGCTGGTCGAAACTCTGCTCGCAGGGCCTTCCCACCCCCCAATGCTAAATCCAGGCTGCCTCCTCCTGAAGTTGCAGCTTTTGCTGCTGTAGAGACATCTGCTCATCCAGGCCTTCCTTCACCTGCACTAGTCACTGGGCTCCCTTGTGTGCTCTCCGCTTCCAGGATTTTCAACCAAGGTTGAAACATGAACAGCAAACTCACCGAACCTTCGTGGTGGCATTGTCAAGCATCTGCTGGAGCTGCCTGTTCTCTGCCTGATGTTCCAAGACAGGGCCTTTCACGACTCTGCCACTGCTCGACGACTGCTCTTGACGTGACATCTTGAAGCAGCCATTAGCTCCGCTTGAGTGCTAGCCAACTCTGAGCTTCGACTTTCTTTAGGATTGCCTGCAGCTTGGCAACAACATCCTGGCACTGGGCATGAGCAGCATGAAAAAAGTAGCATCAGCTGAAAGCCCTGTCCTGGCCCGTACTGTCTGCCTGAAGCTGCCTGATCCGAGGATTTGCAAACCGAAGTGATCTGCAGTCTTTTGCTTTCCGCGGCTTCTGCCTCAGCTCGCGGTCTCGCTCGGTGGCCACCGCTGACATGTGGTCAATCTCCGAAGCCTTTTGCACCTTCCAGCCACATCACGGAGAAGCCGAGACCCCAAAGGCCAGATTCCCAAAGGGGCCTTTAGGGTCTCCAGCTGCTTCTCACGGAGGCGCAAAGATGCCTGACGCATTCGGATGCTTGGGACTGACCCTAAACCCTAAACTTTAAACCCTAAACCCTAAACCCTAAACTTTAAACCCTAAACCCTGTCCCCATTGAAAAAATGACATCTGGTCACTCTCACAGGGCCGGAGGATGCCGGCTTTCGAAGGCTGGCATCCCTTGTCTTTGCTGTTCAAGTACTACATAGCTAACATTACTACATTCCTGCACTACTACATTGACTCACTTGAAAGCAACATGTGACTTTTGAATATTATTAGTATGGCCGTCTGCGCAAAGGCACGAACTCACCTTGAAACAAGTACTACAGTAATACTACTATGCCTTTATAATACTGCTGTATTGTTTCTGAACAACTACCATACTGTTATTGCATTACTACTGCGTCTCTGCTAGACTATTCTACTTGTTGACTGCTGCTGTTCTTCACTCTAGGGACAGAAAGGCGTGGGAAGGACACAAGGAGACTATGAAAAACAGAAAAAGTGTGGATCTTTGGGGGGGCTGCCATATATAATCACATACATATATATATATATATATATATACATATATATGAATATATACATATATATATATATATGTATACATACATAAGTACATACACACACATGTTTTGTGAGTATAGCATTATGCTATAAAAAAGGTGCTTATGTCGTTGTGTTATGGTACTATTAGGCTGTACTAATATTTTACCTGGACAACACGAACATTAGTGTAATATTATGTTTGCTTGTACTGGTATATTAACATATTGGCAAATTAGCAGATTAGAATTTTCGTATATGTATTACTATGTGGATATGTTTGTATGTGAGTAAACTAGTATTTCATGGTAATAATTCTTCTTGGTATGCGTACTATTATCTTGCTATAGGTTGAAACTTGCATAATATCTTGTTTTAACTGCAGTGTGATAAACATTTTCATACTAATTCTTATGTTCTGTTGGGTTGAGCATGAAAAACGGGGATGCCTCCAAGTCAGCAGAGCGCTGCGCCTGCTATCGGCATGCTTGCCGTCGTTTGGATCTTACCGAACTCAACGCAAAGGCCTCCGCAGTTGCTCGTTGCTCCCACTTCTGGGCAGCGGCCTGCAATGACTCATGAAATCTCGGGAGGCATCTTTGGAAAGTACCACGACAGGAGCACATGCCGACTGCAGAGCAAAGGTGCCTCGCTGTCGACGATCCTCACTTGGGCCTCACAATCGAGCCCAATGCACAAGCAGCTTTGCGGCCCGACGTACTCGACATTTTCACGTGATCACAACCTCAGCCGAAGATGGGACAATGGGGACGAGACCTTCGTCATTTCCTCTTCCCGCTGCTCGTCCAACAACTTGAGCTTGGTCGCGTGTTCGCTGACTGCCTGGCTACATCTCATCCCACAGGAGGCTTTGTCAGCTCGGACTAAGCAGTTCTCTGGCTATGGACTTTTCCCCGCAAGTGGGAGCATCCATGGCGTGCGCTCTCGCCAACTCATGGCGCGGCAGATTCCGTGGAGCCATAAGCATGTGCCCTGTGGTCCGAGTCCTTGTGGTGCGCCAAGTAGGGCCTTTGGCAGCGGAGGCAGCAAGCCAAACGACACAGCAAAATAAAGGGACGTAAGACCCCTGCTGCAGAAGGATTCTGGTGTAGTTTGACCTTGGTTTCACATCTCAGCACATCTCTTCATGTCAGGCACCAGCGACAGACATCGACCTCACTGTCACTTACTTGCAACCAGGTAACGAGAGAAATACGATCAGCAAGGTCTGTCCCAGGACTAGGAGGCAGGTGCCCGTGGCCAGGCGAGTGAAGCCCGCAGTGGCATTCGAACTGCAGGGAACAGCATGCTCTAGATTGTTTCGGACTTCGCGGCGACGGCAGCCAGGCCTAATATTCCTGAACCCTCGTGTTTCTCTCCTGGCCCTCACCTGGCCTGCAAATTTGGTCGAAGGCTTGAAACGAAATCTTGGTGCCCGTCAGCAGCGAGACTGCTTCGATGACGGAACCCATCACGGACCTCAGGCCGCAGGCGGCATCGACCTGCAAGACCAGCGAAGAGGCACTAGCAACACCGAAGAGGAGCACCGTGTCCTGAGATTCCAAGCATTGTGAGTGAGGGTACAGGACGTCTTGCAGACTCCAGCAGCCACAAACGTTGTGACTTCTTTAAACCGATCTGCTTGCCCCAGAGAATACGGTGCAGCTGAGCCTCAATCATCAACATCGCCAGGCTTCCAGCCAGTATCAGGCTAAGTGCGCAGCGCCCCAGCAAAAACTGAAAGCACGCGGTGCAGCAGTAGTCGGCACGACTAAAGATCGTCTCCCTTGTCTTGCCGGACGCGAGGAACGCGGCCAGCACAGAGAGAATGTTGAAAATCTTAGCAAAGAAACATCTATTCGAGAGTTTGCCCCATTTACAAAGGAGGTACCGGGGTGACTGGGTTGCGGACCAATGCCAGGAAGAAGCCGATGCCGAGATCACTTAGCAGACCCGTCAGGGTGCTCAAGCCCATTTGGTCCAATGCCACAATAGACTGTGTTCTCCCGGAGACTGCAAGTCCATAACCGGTGAGGAAAAGAAAGAATGCGGCAATGCTCGGGACAGGAATACTTCTGAACATGTCATACAGGCATTTGAAGCAGCCGCCAAGTAGATCTAGGCAGCAGCCACAGTCGCACATGGCGCAGCCGGCAAGGACGAGCCAAGACGGACGGTTCGGTCTCGGATTTAGTTGGAACCGCTGTTTACGGCCTCGACCCCAACCGCAGGGCTCGAGCCAACAGCTACGGCTTTAGCTCCGGTGGTTTGTCTGTCACAGAACACCATGACACTTGACCTACCAATGGCCTTCTGTATTTGACCTCGCCCGACCACGCCCAGAAAAAGAAGACTTGGCCTGGAGCTTGTTGGTCAAAGCAGCCTGTTCACCTGACCCGCTTTGCGGCGAAAGGCACGTCAACAAAGACGAAGTTCCCGCTTGCTCGTTTGGTCCCGTGCCGGTTGACTTCTGAAGCCGCGCCACTTCAGCATTGAGCCTCTTGGCGTCTTCCTCGCAAAGGGCTCGTGGCTCGTGGTGCTCTCCACAGCTGCAGGATGTGACAGGACCGCGCGACTCCGGAACAAACCAACCCATACCGACCTGTACATGCATACTCCGGCACACGGTCACATCAACATCTAACGACCTCTTGTCACGACGGCGTAGCCAACTACTTGCGCAGCGACATGGACTTCTGACAAGAACTGCCTGCCCGCATCTTGAACTCCCCTTTAGACGACTGGTAGGCTCACTGGACGGAGAGCCCTGCTGCAACATGACAGTTTGGGGACGGGAGCGAGCAGGGTCACATGAAAAATGCCCCTGTGACCGAGATCCTCGTTAGTGCCTCAAGCACTTAATGAGTAGTGTCCTTCGACGCAGATCCCCCCGTCAAGCGACCCGGATTCGATGCCAAGTACCACATGCGACATGGAAAGTGCAAACTCTTGATTTCTCCTCTGCAAAAAGCTCCAGCATGTCTTCAGCAGTAACGGGATGGCGAGTCAACGAGCTTCCGAGGCCCTCCAGAAAAGCCAGGCCAACATTTGCAAATCGTGCCAAACATGATGCCACCCGCATATCGCCTGGTCCGCAACGAAGCTTCTCAACACACTCGCGCCACTCTGCTCCACGCAGCTCACGCACGGCGCCGGCCGAGACGATCATGCCCAGCCCACCGACTGGCCAAACTGCCAGCGGAAATTCGGCTTCTCCCCAGGGCATCGGTGCAGCAATGCTTTCTTGGAGCAAGGCCCCTCTCACCTCCTTCGGGCTCGGCTGCTCTGCATGTCCGATGCCCGCACGAAGTAAAGCTTCTCGTGCCTCTGGCAAGAAGCCGCCAGTGACTCTGTAACGATATGGCATGGAGGCATCTTTCACCACGCCACACCATGTACCAACACCCTCCAGGCTTGCAACACCACAGTGATGCCCCGGTCGTGCCAAACACCACTTTGCAGTCAGTGGCCACCGCACGATGCCTTCTGGCATCTTCAGGGGAACCCAGCACTTTTTATGGGAATTCTTGGGGGAGGCCTTCGAGCCTTCTGGTGAGTCAGAAGCGCAGCTGGCAAAGGGAATCTGTGACGGCTGACCGAGAAAGTATCTGGCATCAGAGTCGAAACCGGAGAGGACTTCTTTCAGTTCGCGCAAAAACACATAGCTGTCGTCATCCACCAACATGTACCACTTTGCAGGTACTGCCTGCGACAGGTAGAGGAGCGCTGGTACGAACCTAGCCTCACCCTTGTTGTTATGCAACGGATCATCTGCATGCTGGGAATCATCCGGCACATAGACAGTGCTCAAGCTCGGATCCGAGATGTTGCTGAAGAACATGACTGACTCGTTTGCCAGCCAGGTCCTTCGTGACAGCTCTAACCTGCCATGGTTGAAGGCATGTGAAACGACTCCCACCGCCAAGATATCTTCCGCCTGCACCAGGCTCATGCTTAAGCCGAGCAAAAACGTCCATCTTGCAGGCACTCTCTGGTGATGACAATGCGAAAGTACACATGGAAGGCAAGCCAAGGGGAGAGCAACAGCAGACCACGCAACGGTCATCGTTTCATGCGGGTGCCAGCGTCGTGTTAGGCGCCCATCAAAACGGGTGCTGCGATCCAGAGAGCAGACAAAGCCCAAGAGTTGGAAACTCGGACCCGACCTTCCCAAGCCTTTGAAGGGTTTCTTGGAAGCAGCGAGTTCTGTCAATCTCCCCTCTCCTGGTGGGCTTGGGGCAGCGTCGGGCCCTGAAGTCCTAAAGTCCCACAGCGCCCCTTTGGAAGTGGGCACCGCCCCTCCCTGAATCCGAAGCCGCAAACCCCAAGATAAAGATAAAGGCGGCCTGCAAGGTTGCCGCTTCGGTTGTTCTCTGCATCAGGGCCCTGTCTTTCTCCTGGGCAGGCTTGGGATTTGAAGCTTCGTGTTCAGGCTCGCGGGGTCTCCTGCAAGGAGCCCTCGAGCTGGACAGCGCGATCTGCCTGTCGGTTCCGGGCAAAAAGCCATGGGAAAAGGATGCGACTTGCACAACAGTGCTTAGGCTGAGCTCGGGGCATGGAGCTTCGCTCCTGGGAATTCGCAGCTTCAGCGCACAAAAATGGCAACATCCGCAAGTTCCGTCCAGCTCTCCTGCATGCGCCTTTTCACAAGCTGCTGCGAGGTCGATGTTCTTCCGCTCCGCCTGCCAAAGCGAGCGCACCCTCGCGATGATCGTATCTCTTTCTTTGCGGGGCCTTCTCGCAGGTCTCCTTCAAAGCCAGACTCGATCGACGGGCCTGGGCTTTTCACGAGGTCACGTCAAAGCTCGGAGGATAAAAAAACCGACGCAGGCCTCCTGGACCTCCTGCTCCTTTGCGGCCAGGGCAGCTTGCAGCTGCGCCAGCTGCTTTGCTTGAGCCTCAGACTCAGACGTCTCTTACTACGACCTTCGACAAAGCCAAAGCGCCTCCAGCCGCTTCTGAGCTTCTTCTTTGCCCTGGGAAGGCCTCCGGAGCGCAGCGGCGACTTCTCCGGAAGTTTCCACACGTTCATCGGACTGAGGCTAAGTCACTATCACGTCTGGTTCGCCCTCGCGAAAGCTCACTTCCTGACGCTCGGAGAAATGAGTCGGTCATCTCCTACGAGTAGGCTGGGTCTCGGACCTTCTTGCCCAGCAAAGGCTGCGACCTTGGCGGGTCGAGGCTTCCGAAGCATGTCCAGACACGCCAGTAGCTTGACCTGTCAGTGAGACCAGCAAATCCAGGAGCCCGGGCAAGTCTGCACTCTGCGCGGGAGCCTCCTGCACAGAGTCAGTGCAAGTGAGAACACTTCTGGGCACGTGCAGACGTTAGAGTGAAGATGAGTGAAGTCACAATGACTGCGAGCTACTGTGTGCAGAACGTGACAGCTGATGTTGGTGACTGTGGGGCGGACCGCGTCATGAAGCTCAGGATGCTCCGTCGAGCCATGCTCGCCGTCATTGTGGTTGGCGTGATGGGCTTCCTGCAGGACAAGATCGGAAGATCAGCTGGCATTGCCAGGGGCCTGCTGTATGTCTGTTGCATAACAGACACTTTCCGGGCTAGTGGCTTTCTCAGACGTTCCCAAGATTCAAGTGCACGAGTTCAAGGCGCAAATCAGCGTAACAGTACCAACGTTGCCAACATTGCAGGTTTTGGTTGACCCCCGACTGCCCGGTCGAGACAGGAGCTGCATGGGTCCTTCTTGAACTGCATTACTGTCGGAAGGATGTACCACTTCCATGCGGGAACCACCTGAAAGGTGTGTTCGGCATTTTTCAGATCCTGCACCGGGACTTCAGCTTCTCTTTTTGGGCCCTCTGCCATGCTCGCCAAGATAATGGCAAGCAGCAGCGTGATGACCGGCGGAGCGAGGCCGAAGGCCCGCTGCTCCGCGAGGCCTCGAAAGAGCCCAAGAAGCCCCGAAGCTGACACACGCGAGGGTTTTGCTCTGCGCAAAGAGTACATGTCTGTAGTTGTCCATAGTTCCATACAACCTGCAAACATGATGTTACTGTTCCATACACAGGCGAGTTGCGCTGATCGCTCCATGCACTGAGCAACTACACAGGCTAGCACAACTCGGACCTCGCAGCAGAAACTGATTCCCTCGTCTGAGCCTGATCGTGATGATGGTGGTGATGATGACGAGGATGAGGATGAGGATGACGAGTGACGAATGACGATGACAGTGATGATGCGGATGAGGATGATGATGATCATTCATGGTGACGACAATGACGGTAATGACGACGATGACGACGATGACGACGATGGTGATGATGGTGATGATGATGGTGATGATGACGATGACGCGGATGATGATGATGATGATGATGATGACGATGATGATGGTGATGATGACGAAGATGATGATGATGATGATGATGATGATGCTGATGATGATGATGGTGACGATGATGATGGTGGTGATGATGATGATGATCATGATCATGATCATGATCATGATGATGATGATGTTGTTGTTGTTGATGATGATGATGATGATGACGAGCTGTAGCTTGCAGCAGCCACCTACATAAAACATTCCGCCGACATCAACTTAGCCTCAGTGGGCAAGGCCGTATAGCGTCTTGCATGCAAATTTCTGTGGGATGGCCCTTGCTCTGCAGCGCACCAGAAATGGCCGAGAAATGCTCCGAAACCATACCTCCTGAAAAAGAAGTATGCGATTGCTCTCGTTTGAGCGTCAAGCTTCTCGGGGACAATTGTTGCATGCTCGCTTGGTTTCTTCTTGCTAGAAGCGAGACTATTCCCAAGCAAGTCGTCTGCAAACTGCGATTCATCACAGGGAGTGAACCCGACATGGTCGGAGAGTCCAAGAAGACGTCAAAGCAACATTCGCTGCAGAAACCGGGAGGCCGGACCTCCGACGGCTGCATCGAAGCTGCGCTCCCAGGAGAATCCAATCAAGATACCCAAGGAGGTGATGAGGGCACGCCTGGGAGAGGCTGACTCGGCACCAAGGACTGCTGGTAGCAGTCTGGAAGTAACTCCCTCCCTGCTTAGGCTGTGTCAACGCGGCGTCGACCTGGGAGAACAGTCTTGGCATGCAGAGGACCTCTACTTTCAGGCAGCAAGCGCCTCATCATCAGTGAACTCCATGTCGGCAAGCTTGTCCAGCACCTGTATTGAAACAACACCTTACTCCACCCGGGTGTACCTATTGCAGAGGCTTGGGCGAAGATCAGGCCAAGAGCCAAGCATGTCACGACCTCGCTCTCATGAACCGGCATCGGGCTGCGTGCCGCCGTATCCCTATCCGTCACTGGGCACTTGGCGACAGCAGAAACGACAGCGGAAACAGCTCCCTCCTTCACGACTGACACTCTGCTCAGTTGCATCAGGCCGGATGAGGATCGGCGGACGTGTTCGCGCGGCTCGGAAGTCTCACGCTTTTGTTTCTGTTTCTTAACCCATGTCCACATCCAGGTTGGTGGTCAGGAACCAGTCCACTGCGAAGTGCAAACTCCATGCCTCGCAGAGTTTCACTTCCCTTCCCAAGAAACGGAACTGAAACATGCCGGGCCAGCGGTGCACATGGCACAAATGTCCCGAATCCACACGTGGTTCAGGCGATCCCAAACTGAGGGGTCTTCCTCGCAGGCGAGGGAAACGCAGACTCCGAAGTGCAGGAAGCCCCAGCGAAGAAAAGAAAAAGACTAGCAGGACGAAGCGGCGGACTTGACCCATATGCATGGTATGGATGGACTTATCGACGCTCAGACAAACAGTCAGTGTCGCAGAACATGCCTAGACTACATGCCAAGTGATTGAAGCTGTAGGCCCTTGCAGGAAATGCAAATTGTATCTCAGCAACCCGAGTCCTTCTCACCATGAGCGGCATGGCCAATATGTCCATCAGATGGGCTTTGACCGAGAGCCTTTCGGATTGCCTTGCCTCGGGTGCGCAGTGCACAAGGCAAAGGTGTCTACTTCTCTTCTTCGGCCTTTCATGCGGTTGTTCTCGATCCTTTCCTGGCCTTCGTCATCCTTCGTCTGGCTCGTAGCTTGCGTGGTCGTTCCATACGAATCGCCGTTGTCAGCTTTCGTTTCCTGTACCCGTGAGGCTTTCCGAGTTCGTGCCCTGCGTGGCGGAAGCAGCCCGGGCTGGAATGCTGTAGAAGGCAGGTGAGGTCTCGGGTAAGCTGACGGCGACCAACTGCTCTCTCCACTTAGCCGACTTAGCCGGTGTACCGGAATCCTGTCCTGTTGGAGCGGCCAGGTGTAGCATCTTGCGGGCAGTTGTACCAGAAGTGTGCTAACGCTAGGATTCTGAGCCTGTGATTTACAACCACAGGTTTTGAACGTCTTCTCTCCTTGGATCTTGCCCACTTACATGACAGCAACAACCTTCACAGAACGACCACACCATTGAGATGAGGAGAGACATGGCCATCATCTCTCTGTCTCGTTCCATCGGTATTCATTGAATCTCAATGCTTGCCGTTTCACTGCTCTTGTTTGCTCCACTTACGCTCCAGGCTTCTTCTGTTTGTACTACTACCAACATTGTCGTGCTATGACCACTACTGCATCTTCTCTTGCAATTATCTTCCATATGGACCGTCACCTGCTACTACTACACGTCAAACTATACATGTAAACATCGTGGTTTCAGTCTTGTCTTCCGAACCATAAGTAGGATGTTGCTTATGTTCTTTTCATGTGATCGTGTGGTATCAAGACTGCTGCATCCCTGCTCGCCCTCAGGGGCGCACGGAAGGTGATCTTGACAATCTCGAAGCATCCAAAAGCAGCCGCAGCCATAAGCAGCATGCCCTCAGTTCTGCTCTCTTTACTTCCCAGTTCCGCCCGGAGCAGAGGCGAATGTCGCGGCAAAGACTCGGCGTCTGGCACATTCTCCGGCCGAGTGCTGCGATCCCTCCTCATCTTCTCCCTGCAACAGCCACCAACTGCATCGTACTGCTGCGCGACAGGCAAGGAACCTTTAAAACGATGCCGTTCTTAAGTGCTCATATGCCTCGGAATTGGGTAGCTGGCCACTGATAGCAAATCGGAGAACCTGGTAAGCAGCACCTACGTCCAACGTTCTAGCAGTCGTGCAAAGACAGGCCTGGACCAGCAAGAAAGACACGGCCAATGCCATGACATCGTCTTCTGTCTCGGCAACCTCTTCGTCCCACAGCTTCTCCCACTCATCCTGGCCGCAACACAGGAATCGGAAACTAGACTTTGGCGGAACACAGGGCAGCCTCTTCGTCGTCAGCCAGCGTCTTGTACTCTCTCAACGTGTCAGTGCCAGCATAGATACCTTTCATGTGGGTGATATCTCGCCTGATTCGTGCAGCGACCATGTAGTTTATGGTGAAGTTGCACAGAGGCAGGCACGACCGCGAATTGTTGCTTAGGGCATGGAAACATACATGATAGTTTCAATGAGATAATATTTGCCTTCGGACTCAGTGCTGAAGCGAGCCAGGCGCACACAGAATACCAACAAGTGTAATCACTGGCACAAGACCACACCAAACCAGGTTTCGCGGAACGGCCTGCACAACAAATGCACATGTGGCAAACGGACACCTGCAGCTCCAAATCCCTGTCATGTTTGAAGCGCCTGCTGAAGCGTTCCCCATGCATTGATAGCCGCAAAGCCCGTGATGTGGCCGAGAAGTATGGCATAGCACTCCACATTGGCCTCCACTGCCTGGTGAGCAGAATCTGTGCGCACGACACTGGCTGTCACTTGGTATCTCTCGCTGGTCCGCCTCGAAGTGTTCCTTCGCCGAGTTTTCTCGCTGCAGCTTCTTCCGGAAGTCCGACATTGATTCGGTAGCTGCAGCCCTCAGCCATGCACAGCTAGAAAACACAACCCGGCAGCATGCACACATAGTTGTTGCCGTATGTTGCCGTAGCCGGGATCTAAGATCTAGGGTCGGGGCGACATGATTGACAGCCTGTGCTTCCCAACCTCATCCGGCTATGCCGTGAACAAATTGGCTGCACTTGGAGCTGCGGCTTCTCGCGAGCTGTTCAGAGTCACCAAGTGCCGGCCTCGTGGTGCTCCCCTAAGGCGCCCGAGAAGTAGGCCAATGTCAGCTGCAAGATCACGAACCACGCCGACATGTGCATCTGGGAGTCAGGCAAAAGCACACTCCGACATATCCCGAGAGCTGAACCACCAAAGTGTGCCAAGTCGTAAGGTCTGCGCCATGTCGATGACCAGCTGCCACCAAATCCACAGGCCTTCCAGGATGTAGTACTCAAGGACCTTGTTGCAAGCCTGCCATCAGCGCCACCCACGAGGATAATTCAGCCCAAGCTCCCAGAGAAGGGTTGCTGAGTTCCCCTGAATGCCTGGAAGAGCAAGACGGCCGAGAAGATGGATACCGTTGAACTGATCACCTGCCAGAGCCGGGAACCCGTGCGTCTATCTACTTGCTTGGGTTTCTTGCAACGCAAGAAACTCGCACGAGTTATTTGCAAGTAGGGTCCCTGTTCACAAGTCTGCTTTAATGAACCATGATTCAAGCAATATGACTTTCTGGCTCTGATCGACGTGGGCCCACCGAGCTCGATCGGGCAGGATTCTGAACAACCTGTCCTTCAGCATGTCGGCTACTCCTGTAATGACTTGACTGAGGGGGGCGGGGGGGCGGCCAAATACCGTGCTACCTAGCCAAACCATCTCAGAACCCCAGCAATGGAGAAATCGAAACATGGCGCAAACTGCCTCCCAAGAAATGCGCTTGATGTCCTCATCCGGCCAGTTTATGAGATAGAAGTTGGCCATCATGAAGCCCATCTCGGAAAGGAGGCAAGTGTGCTGCAGCAACCATCAGCAGCAAACACAGGCATGAAGTCAAGGAATCACACGCGCACCTGCGATTCCCCCAGCTGCCTCGGGCCCTGGCGCATCCTAAAAGCATCATCGAGATGCAGATGTCTTCGGTGGTCTTGACCTTCACCTCTTCAACTCGCAGTGTTGCTACCATGAGCATGGTAACCAACAAACATGCCCGCCTCTGTTTGATGCTCAAGCCCTTCCTCGAGTTTACGTATTTCTTCCTTTCTGCCCTGGCAGACGACAGGGTCAGACTTCGATACGTGTGCCCAGACAGCGCAGGGATGGCGTCGTGACTGTCGACTTCTGACATGTTGCAAAGGGCCATTCCCCATTTCGCAAATAGGGCTGCTTCAGCCTCTGCCCTGCTACAGTGTCAGTATTGGTTTGCCTCACGCTGATGATGGCGATGATGACGATGACGATGACCGTCGTGCGGCCCGGTGAGTGGATGAAGATGATGACAATGATGACGATGACGGTGACAGTGGTGATGACGGTGATGCACACGATCTTGACCACGCTGATGATCATGATGATGGTGATGATGATGGTGATGGTGGTGATGATGATGATGATGGTGATGATGATGATGATTATGACGATGACGAGTGATGATGAAGGTGGTGATGGTGATGCTGGTAATGATGATGATGATTATTATGACGATGATGATGAAGGTGATGATGGTGATAATCATGATGACAATGACGATCATGATAAAGATGCTGATGCTGATGATGATGATGATGATGATGATGGTGATGATGGTGATTTTGATGATCATGTTGAGGGTGGTGATGGCGATGGCGATGATGATGGTGATGATCATGATGACCATGACGATCATGATAAAGATGCTGATGGTGATGATGGTGATGATGACGGTGATGATGATGATGATGATGATGATGATGATGATGGTGCTGAAGACGATGACGATACCTGCCCTGCTGCTCGCTGAGCTGATAAGATGACGACGACGATGACAATGATGAGGAGGAGGAGGACGACGAGGAGGAGGACGAGGAGGACGAGGAGGACGAGGAGGACGAGGAGGACGAGGAGGACGAGGAGGACGAGGAGGACAAAGCGGACGAGGAGGATCATGAGGATGAACGAAGGGCCATATGCCACGTGGCATCTGTGACATTCGGGATGCTCAAAGCAGTTGGCGACCCGAAAAAGAAAGACACCTGCCGTCGTACCCAAGGATGTACATGTACTGGTGCTGTTGTTCAACCAAGCCGGGACTGTCACGATGGATAATCATTTCGACTTGTGGCAGCCACGAAGCAGCAGCAGCAGCGGCGGCGGCAGCAGCAGCGGCAGGAGGAGGAGTGGTGGTAGTAGTAGTCGCAGTAGTAGTAACATTATCAACAGTAGTAACAGTAGTAGTCGTAGTAGTCGTAGTAGTCGTAGTAGTCGTAGTAGCCGTAGTAGTCGTAGTAGTAGTAGTAGTAGTAGTAGCACTAGTAGTACTAGTAGTACTAGTAGTACTAGTAGTACTAGTAGTACTAGTAGTACTAGTAGTACTAGTACTAATAACAATAATAATAGTAACAATGGTAGTAGCAGTGCCAGCAGCTTCAGTTGCAGTACGAGTAGTCGTCGTGGTGGTGGTGGTCCAAGTAGTAATTAGTAGTAGCAGCACAGTGGCAGCGGTAGTGGTAGGAGTAGCGGTAGTAAGTAGTATTGCAGCAGCGACGGCGATCGTGTAGGTTTCCCCTTTGTAAAATTTCGGAAGGCAGCATCGGAACGGTGCCGGCCTCTGCGAAGTACACGGGCGGCTCCGGACTTCCGCTTACCTGGCCAGGCGATCACTCTCAGCCGAGGCTAAGAGTTGGACGACGGCCTCGATCTCGTTGGAGTATGCAGCGGAGGGACATAGCGCTGCAATCAACCTCCGTGCAGTCACGTTGACATGGCCATTCCCAGTCTGTGGTTCCTCACGTCGGCTCTGAGAACACAACACCAGCAACAGGGGCTTGAAGAAGCCTTCAAGCAAAATCTTGAAGCTTGCTTCGTTCTTGACCGCAACTCCGGGTGAGCTCAGCCAGCTAGGAGCATCACTGTGCGAGCGTGGTGAAAGACACCGGCAGTGGCCCTTCATGTCTCGGACGCAGCCGACGGATTCTGTGAGAGATACCAAGCTTCGGTCTCTGGTGAGGTCTTCTTCGATGCTGGAGCTAACTAAACAACAACAAGCTCTCACTGATGTGGTAGTCATGCCTTCCAACAGCTTACTGTAAGTCTCGAAGATACACCGCAGCTCAATGCTGCTGCGCCGTGGGAAGCCCATCTTGGACCAAAATTGAGCAGGAATACGGGCCCATCCGACATGGCTCAGCACCCTTGAGACCCCGTGCATGCTCGAACCTTTTGCCTCTGATGCTGGAGGATTTCACTGCAGAGCCCTCCAGGCAAAGTCCGAGGTCGCCTGGGGCAGGTGCCAAAAACGACTCTACTTGGAGGTTCATGGGCAGTTATAAGTGGGGTTATAAGTCCCCTAATATGGGTTATAAGGTTACCCTACTTATAACCCTATTTATAACTGCCCATGAACCTCCAAGTACAACTTGCACAGGTCCGGAGCGGGCCTGAGCCTGTTGGCCGCTGCGTCTCGACGGCCCCTGCCTTATCCAGGTCTGCGTCTCTCCGGCCCGCTGTGAAGAGCTGCGGCTGAGACATGTCAAAAAGGCCCACACAAGCCAGGAAACAGGCTGCTCCCTGGCAAAAAAGAGGTGGGGAAGTGCTCCAAAAAGCAGAGGCTTTTTCCCCGGCCTCCCGGTCGACATCGCCCAAGCCCGTCCAAGGGGTTTCTTTCGGCGGGTCAGGTATGTACGACCTGAAAAAGCAAGACGCTGACACAGATGACAGCTTCAGAAAGCCAGATATATCAACCTGTACCTTGATCCTTCAACGGCCCAGTAGCAGACCTCGAGGTGCATCATTCGACGGTGAATATCTCAGATCCGGCGAGATACAGAAATCGGCAGACCTGACACGACGCAAGCACTTTCATCGTGGAAGTCTTCAAAGAACGCGTACGACGTACGAGGCCGCCACATAGTTGGAGTTGGGCCTGGTAAGGCCTGGTAAACCGAAGATGTCCCCGAGTGCTGAGAGTCGCGAACGTCGTAAGCAACGTGCCTGCGTGCCGGTGATCAGGAACATGGCATCAGCTGGCCCCGTCCTTCAGTACTCCAGCGCTTCTGTTTTTGGCGCTTCAGCCCAAAAATCCTTTGCAAAGAGTCGCCGTCCTGGAGACATCTAGAGGACTTGGCCGACCGGCGACTCCCACTCCGTCGACTCCGGCTCCCTCCCCAAGGCACGGCAAGTGGTTCGAAGCTCTCGGTGTGTTTTAAAGAGAGTCCTCTCTTCCCCCCACTTTTGGGAGCGCCTTCGAAGGAACTTCGGCCTTCCTTCGCCTCTGCAAAGGATTCTGAGATCAAAAGGGCACAGGCTTCGGGACGCGACGGCACCCTCACCTCTGCGGTGGCTTGGACCGGTTGAGCACCTGCACGACCGCACATGAAAACACAACAAACCTGGGTGAGGTCCCCTCTTCAAGGATGGAGCACTTGAAGATCACCCGAGGAGCCTGGAGTTCTAGGCGCCCTGGACGCTCCGCGAGGCCCCGCCGTGCGAGGCACTCCTCCCAGGCCTCGGGCAGCTGTCACTGCGGCTCTCGCGGTTGAAGTTTGTGCATTTGATGTGGCCAGGCGTCTGGAGGTTTTCAGTGCAGAGCTTGTTATTTTCCCGAGTTGCGGTGAAAGGCTTAAGCGTTCAAGGGCTCTCAGCTGACCTGTAAGTTCAGGCAAGGGCAGGTCTACTGAGTATACTGATGCATGCCTTGCCCGCTACTCTGGAAGAGTGTGCCACATCATGCTACAAGAACACATTCATCATGATGGCAAGAGGTGTTGGTGCCAGGTAAATGTCACCTGTCATTCATCTGATCGGGACAAACGATTTTGCTGCCGTCATCGCAGTTGTGGTAGCCGTCACAGATGAGTATGACGGATTCCGCAGATAGAACTTTCCCACCAAAGGAAACACAAGATCGGTACAACATACTAGTTGCCAGTGTCCCTGCGTCATCCTCCACTCTTGGGGGTTGCAGAGGAGCCGGCAGCTTCGCCATCGAGAGGGTAGCACTCCTCGGCCTTTGGCATGGAGTCGAGCGCATGGAGACAGGAGCTGGCAGGTCAATCTTGCATCCACTGGCCCTTGCTCGACATGCGGTGCAGAGTTGCGAAATTAAAAGTCTGACGTCATGGCAAGTGTGCAGTTGGATGGCATGGAGCAGGTAAAGCGAATCTAATCTAATCCTGCCGTTCGCGCACAGTGCTCGGCCTTCTCCAATGTCCAATCACGGGTTATTCATGTGCAGAAGCACATGTACAAGCCTTTGCTGTCACTGGCTCGCGCGTCGCCAGAGCGAAGCCAGGAACCCCAAAGAGCCCGAACTCTTCCGAGAAAAGTCGGCCTCTCGCCAGCAGAGCTGCAGCGGTGGCCTTGTTGTGCAGCTTTTCTCTGCGGCGGCCCCGGAATCTCTGTCTGCTCCCGAGGCTGCAGCGCTTTCTTGGGCAGCCGGAAGCGGACGGCTACCTGCACAGAGGAAACGAAGGGAAGATGCTGGAAAGGCAGACTCTGCAGATCTCTGCGGCCTGCTGGACGAGAGCCTTGAAGCCTGGCAGGGGCAGAGCAGCCACAACTTTCTCGACGTGCAGCAATTCAAAGGATGCCGGCCGCACTCACACGCAGGGGCAAGAGGAAGAAGCGGACGGCCGTGTCCCACACCACACGAACCTCGGTACGATAGCCGCTGGTAAGGTGTTCCTTGCGACCAGCACTTCGCATCGATCTGGGCACTGCGAAAATCGCATTAGCCGAGGGGCGCTTAGCATTCGCCGCACACTGGCCAGCCGCTCTTCGGCTGCGCCTGTGTCGACTCCGAGCCTGGGCGAAAGATCTGGGCACTGCCCAAAGCTTGCGGCTGGAGCTCCGGACGTTGTTGCGACTTCGATCGCCTCTTCTGCAGAGTCCACTGAGGACTCGCTGCGGAGATCCTGATACAGCGACATGACTTTCTCGGATGTGCAGCCTCGCACAGAAGTCCCCTGCTCTGGTGGTTGCCAAAGACGCCAAATCCGGGGCAGCCTACCCAAACGCAAAAGAAGCGCAGCACTGAACTCAAAGAAGTGGAAGCACCGGGAAGCCTCTGAGTTCGCATCCTCCGACATTATCCTGGTATCTGGCGGAGAAAGAGGAAGCACATGCAGCGCCGAAGCTCGAACTCCGAACATCCCCCCATCCTCTTCTGCCCTGTTTTGACTGTATAGATGCCAAGACCCAGGCCCGTCGAGGAGAACGGTTGCATCCTCTCGCAGTGCACCCAGCCGAACCTGACAGCAGAGCCGATGCAAAAGCTGATTGCCTGCCTCGTCTGCCTCGATCTCTTCGGCCAGCGACGCCAACGCGGGAGCATCGACTGCGACTGTGGGAAAGTGTGGATGTGTTGGCAACAAGGCTGTGGCTCCGCGGCTGCGCCGAGAAGCCAGGCCTTGCCCAGGGTCCGGAGGTGCCGACTCCGCCTTCGGAGCAGGACTCGTCTGTCCCTGCACTCGTCCCGGCCCGGAGCGCCCGCCTTCACACCCAACTCACCCAACTCCTGCCGCTCAGACCTGCCGAGACGGGGGTTGCGAGGGCCCATGAACCCGACGAACGCGAGTCGCCGACTCCAAGGCCATCAGCGCATCGCGCAGTTCCTCCGGATCGTCCTCTCGGCACCAAGAGCTTTGACTTCGCTTCTGAGCCTCAGCCTTCCCTGCATGGGCCCTGTGACTCTGTAGGCCTCGTCTGCAGCCAGGGCCGCTCTGGCCATGCCCGCAGCTGTCGATGCCTTGCACAGTCTCTCGCCCTCCAGGCGTCTGTTGGCCACTCTGATCAGGTTCTGTGGGAAGGACCCTACTCCTGCAAACTTGCCAAATTTCGGGCCACGGGACAAAGCAAGAAGAACAGCCGACTGGTGTTGGAGTCTGCAAGAACTAAACTAGACATCCTGACAGAATTCTGTGACCAGCCACTCGCCAGGTCAGAACTTCTGCATCTTGCCAGCTGTCGGCGCTGCCGACGCCTTCCGGAGAAGCGCATTTTAACCAGCGGTTTGAGTATCAAGAAGGCCCGACACAAACTTACCGACCGTTTCTCCGAGGCCGCGGCTGTCAGCGACCGAGGCCTGATCAGAAAAAGGTACTACCAGCACGGGCGGTCGTTTTGCTTGAAAGGACCGGTGTGAGGTAGAATAAAGTATGGATGAACCCAGCGGGCCCCACAAATCCAGCACCACCATATGTTTCTCTTAACTTTTCAGCTAGGCGACATGATGCCGACAATTTGCAGACTATCGTAGACTCGGCATTGTGAGGCAATCCACTTTCAGTTGCAATCCTGCATTTGTGGGCCAGCTCTCGCGAGTGTAGGCAGGCGAGTGCTGCTTCAAGTGTTTGTTTTGCATCCGGTACTGAAACCTTTGCGTGCGCACAGCTCCAGAAGCACCGAGGAAGATGGAGCAAGCGTGCCTCAGCCTCACTGACGGCATCCACCTCCACGGCTCTTCGTATGGAAAAGATCGAGTCGAGCTGGGGATCACAACTACAGCAGGAATCTGCCTGCACAAGTCTTGATGAGAATCCTGGCCTCTTCGTAGGGGCTTGCCACCAAAGCAGCGATGGAGCTGCTGATCGCCAAGGCCTCACCCTGGGTCGCCAGCACTGTATTTCATACTGCTCTTCTCTTTAGCTGCATACATTGAAGGAAAGCATTGGTTCACGAAAAGCCCAACTTACTTGAGGAAATGCGCAGGATACAGCACTTCCTACCAGGCGACCGCAGCTTGTGAGAAGGGCTTGAGACCACTCTTGGGTCGCCACACAAAGTTCCAAGCAACCAACGCAGAACTGCGCAACTCCCCCAATGCACAGCGCGTTCTGCCGCCGCATGGCGAACATTTCATTCATGCTCAATCACTCCAGCTTTGCTAGAAGAGCAACTAATGCTGTCCACCTGGCTTGACCACCAAGCCAAGACATTGTCACTAGGTGTGCTTGCTCTCATCAGGACCAATCAGTCGCGCAAGGTACGAGTCCGCGGGCGCGAAGCAATGCCTCTTGAAGGCTGACGGCACCGGCAAACCGGGCATCTGGATTCGTCTGAGCTCCTGGCCGATTGTTTTGGGAGCTGCACCTCGAGAAGAAAGCAACACCAGCTCCCACTCCGGGGCCCCAAGGTGCGAAGTGCTGACATTGAGGCTGGTGCTCGCAACTCGCCCCCCTCTAGCTTTTGCGGCCGCTGTGGCTGCATTCGTGACTTGCACCTGAAACGTGCTCCCTCTGGGTGACCTCTCAGTACAAGCTCTATAAAATGGCTCCCGGCCCTCAGCTCCGCGGCCAAAGACTCCAAGTCACTGCGCAAGTTGCGCAGCAACCTCCGAGCCGCCGAGTGGCAGCGTAGCTCAGAGCTCTAAAGAGGGAGAGGAGTTGCCAGGTGCCTTCCACGATTCAGCTCAGCCTCTGTCAGCTGGCGGATGGCTGAAGACAGCTCTGTTAGGTCCTTTGCAAGAGGCATCGGCTACCCTTCTGATCGGACATGGTGGTACTGGTGCCGCCCCGACGGAACTGCGATCATGGTTGCTATCATGATGATGACGATGATGATGATGATGGTGCTGATGATGATGACGGCGACGAGGATGATGATGATGATGATGATGATGATGATGATGATGATGACGGTGATGGTGATGGTGATGGCGATACTGATGACGAATGGTGATGATGGTGGATGGTGATGATGGCGATGATGATTGTCATTATGACATGGGTGGATCGGTGGGTCCTTCAGAAGGCATTCCTCCGCTTGGACACTGCGTGCAGGCTCGGCAATTTCCTGGTGACGGCCGGAGTGCCGCACTTAATCACCACCAGAACTCCGTGCACAAAAGTCCTTGTAGTGTTGCAAAATGGCCGTAGCACGAGATCGAACGGCTTCCTCATGGTCTTAAGCAGTACAGCGCTTGGTCGGAATCCACTGCAGCATCTGCTGCCTGCAGCTCCGACTGAAGATCCTCGAACTCGCCGTCCGTTGGCTTTGGACTTAGACACATGCTGGCTGCATGGCGACCAAAACAGGCAAAAGGCTCAGTGCCTGACTCCGAGCAGAAATACCCCGCACGCTCAAAGACGGAGGCCTGCATCACAGTGCAACGCTTCCTGCAAGTTTGACAGAGAAAGTCATGAAGGTTTTGCACAAAAGCCGTAAGTACCCGGCAGCCGAGCTCAAAACGGATCCGGCCATGGAGCGGACAGCATGTACAACCTGGAAGCCGCGGCAAGGGAGTCTGTCCTGTCCTTACATCACCCCATTCTTTTCCTCTCCTCGCCTTGCTCCGGCTTGCATCGGGTACCGCCTTCGGCGCCTTGCGGCGGGTATTTGTCGGCGAAGTGCGTCGGCCCATGACCGGATCAGAGCGCGAGGCGGTGCTACTCCGAGCTGCTTTGCAGCTGCGGGTCACTATGAATTCGCTGGGGGCCGAAACGGCAAAGAAGGCAGAAACCATGGCGCATAAATTGTCAATTGAAGCCATCCAGGTCTGCAGGAGGCCAGGGCTCCCACAAGCGACATGCGTCGCAGCACCTCCTGGCACCGAACATGAGGGGTTTGCTTATCCTGCCGCCCAGAGTGACGCCTTTTGAAGAAGACCGTCGATGGCAGCGGCGACGTCCGCAGCAGTTGAGGACTCAGGAGCTTCAAGCTTAAGCTGACCCTAGAGATTCGCATTTGTATGCGGCTAATAGCCCCTGAGGCTCGGTCTGGCAGGGGTGCCGGTGCATCCTTCCATTGACAGTACGACGGCTCCAAACAGCACACAGAGGATGTGCTGTTGAGCAACGATGTGGAGGAGAAGTGTGGTTGCAAGCCGGACTGATTTCTCCACGGACCGAATGCACGCAACAGATGGTGCTCCGTTCATCAGAGGCGTTCTGCCAGCATCTGGAGGCAGCTGCAGCAGGAAGGCTCCGGGCAATGTCTGATGTGCGTAGAGAAGCCGCCCTTGCCGCAGGAAGATCACCACCATGTCACCAGGTGTGTCACCAAAGAGGACTGAGAGCTGGTACTTCGGCTTCGTGATGTCTACGTGGACGGAAGGCAGGCGAAGGCTCGGCAGGCTCTTCGCCCAACATCGCCCCGAACATCTACATCTTTTTCGTCGGAAGTAGCGAATCTCCACCACGTGAGGCATCAATGCTGAGGGAACTGCGAAGCTGCGTGACAATGGCTCCACCTTGGCTGGTGCCGGTAGCACTGCCCGAGAAGAGCCATGTGAATTCAATGCATCGTCCCCATCTCAATGACATATCAATGGAAACTGCGAAAATCCTGCCGGCGCCGAGGCAACCCGAATCCCCTCCTTTCAAGCTTGGCCACTGATCCACCAAGCCCCAAATGCGAGGGTGAAGGCCTTGCGACGTCCAAGAATCGACACTAGCGCCACCACCTGGCAGAGGGTCCAACGGTCGCCGTCAGCGCATGCCACGATGCAGTGTAATCTACTATACTAGATTATACTCTAATATACCTACACGTGCTATGATATACTATAATGTACAATATGCCAATATGCTGTCAGGATGCAATGCTGGGGCCCAGCCCCTTGCCCAGGTCATCGCACAAGGTGAAAGCTGAGAAGACCGTGCCACGCCGCTCCGAGGGGTTCACATTCATAAGCACTGCCCGGATGTTGGGACCTGACGAGGGGATGCAGAGTCTGCACGACACTACTGCCCAAGCTTGAAGCTTCGAACAGCTGCGTTCGCCTGCAAGTGCAGCAGACCCGCCGCACAGAGCCAAGAAAAAGGCAAAGAGCGTTGGCCGGCCAGATGAAGTCGTGATCAGCGCCTGCGAGGGAAATTCAAGACCAGCACGGCGCACGCAATCTGCTTGGAGTCACGGAGCCTGCGAGGAGTTCACGAGCAGCATGAATGGCAGCGGAGCCACCTTGGAGAGCTTCGGGAAGAAGAAACGGACAGGCCTCGGCCTTTGTGCTTTGAAATACCGAGCTTGGCGCCAGCATGCCGGCAGCGGTCAGCAAGCAGAAGTGTTGCATCTTCTTCTGCCTCTGCGCACGCTCAGGTAGTGCCGTTCAGAGCGATCAACGGCCCAAGTGCTCCCGCCTCTGGTTCCAGAGGGACTGTCCAAGGATGCCACCAGTCACTCCGAAGGCCAAGCAGCTCATGCCAAACACCGCCGTGATGGCCGTGGATGCCTCAGGACCGAGGGAAGGTGATCTGCGAGCTCTCACGGATCGAAACATGCCGTGCATCTTACGGACTGTTACAGATGCGGCCCAGTCCTCAACCGCCATGCCTTGGTCGGTTGCCAAATAGTCCGCGAGGAATGTGACGATGACTGAGATGGGGATGCAACCAGGCAGTGCCTTTCGAAGCCAGTGTAAGCTCACAGCTTCTGGCTCCTTTGAAGCTGTGCCGATGGCTCCTGGCCTGCGCGAAAACCAACATGTTGGATTTCACCGCGAAGACCTTTTGAAACTTGGTCAGGTCCTGAGTTGAATAGTCCAGGACAGCTTCTCCAGTTGTTCTCGGTGATTTCAGGCTCTGACGAGATCCTCCATGCTTAGTCCTTCCCCACGAATTTCTGCACCGCCCATCCACGCAGAAAAAGCCTCTCTTGACACGATCGGTTCAACGCAACTGCCCGTAAAGGCCACATCAATGGCTGCCAGGACCTAAACTATTGGAGCTACAGCTCCGTAACTACAGGATCACGAACATGCTTTGTGAATTTAGTGTTTGTCGCTGACTGACGCACTCAGCTACTGCCCAGATCGTTTGGGTGACACAACTGCCACGACAGCAGAGAGCAGCGCAGTGGTGAAATTGAACACAGGGGCGGGATGCAGAAAGACCCGGTCGGCTGCACACTTGCATGCAAGCAGAATTGCGTGAAGTCGACATTACAGCTCCATTTCGTGGCATGACTGAACTGACCTGGAACGCAAGGACCTGCCCGGAGCACGGAACATCAACGCGTTTCAACATCCGCCACCTCGTTGGTCACCACTTCCTCGCGCTTGGCCTTGGCCTGGCAAGGCATCCACATATATCCAAGGCTACCCGCAATTCGACCGGAAACCACGGGGAATTTTGCCGGGGGCCTTTTGCTGCGTCCTTGGGTCTGCCAGAAGAAGGCGCACGAGCGCTGCACAGACGAGGGTCGGGAGCGCCACGATGGTGAAGGGCATCCTCCAGCCTCGGACAAAGGCCCCAAGGGCGGTCTCAGCACTTCAAGGCGGCCCTCCCCTCTGACTGAAGTTGCAGGCAAAAAGCCATAGGATGGGCCCACGACCCCGGACCTGCAGAGATGCCCGAAGGCCACGAAGCGCCAAGGGATTTTTCGGTCCTTCAAGATCCGGCCAGGCTGCATGAGACCTCCCAGCGCTGCACCGACATTGCCGGCAGCATTCAGGGCTCCAGAGATCAGCGTGCGCTGGGAGGCGGGAAAGACGTCCGCCGAGAATGCAAACAAGACCTCTTCAGGAAAAGTGCAGCGACTGCTTAAAGCCTGCCTTCGCTGTGCAGCTGAGGCTCTGGAAAGGAGCCGCCGATCGCGACCTAAGTGAAGAGATGTGCCGCACTCGCCGAAAGTCTAGAGCCAGTTCATCGCCGAGGCTAGCACCCCTGTGCATATCCTCGCCATGAAGAAATAGAAGAAACCTGCCTGCTAGCTGGGATGCCGGTTCAAGAGCTGTCAACTTCACGCTGGAGCCGAACCAATGCCCGACCCCACCTTCGTCGACGGCACCATGAGGCTCATGAGCAGCGATGGGATGCAGCCACAGAGCACGACACAGCAGAGGACGTTGATCCGGTCAAACTGGTCTGCCGCAGGTCCCACCAGTACGGACACAGCACCTCAGCTTCCGGGCTGCGAAGGCTCAGGCTCTCCCTGTCCGCGTGACTTCGCCCGGGCTCCTCCAACAAGGAAGAAGCCGAACTGCACCAGGCCACCAAGCCGAGAGTCCTCTCATTCTGGACAAAGACCTGACGATTTAGCCATGCTTGACGTGAGCCCACAGTCCTTCTGCATCGGTGTCATCTGGAAGTCGCTGGCAATTTGCGACAGATTGGGGGCTGCCAAATTTTGGTCCGCATGAAGGCACATTGCCGTCACGAACAGCAGCAGAAAGGTGACCTAATGCGGGCTCTTCTAGGGAGGTCGCCTTGGCCTTTGCATGGCATCCGCACCTGGAGCTCCCGCGGCATCTGCAGTATGCCGCCTTCGCCCCCGACCTCCTTCTCTTTGCCATCATACTTGGATCCCCAGGGCGAGCCACCACCCTCGCCACCAGGGCCGCCTCGGAAAGTTTGGGCGAAAATTGGAGGCAGCTGCACCCTGGCCCTATCAAGCTGAACCATGCCACGTCTGGAACGAAGATCCGCTTGAGCGTATGCCATGGCACCGCATGGACTCCGCAAACTGCCCTGAGCCCAAATGCTACGGATCAGCGGCCACTCGGTGGATCCATAGTGCTCCGCGCTGCGAGCTGCTCTTTCCGGAATCGCTCCGGTCCTCGCAAATCTTCCGGACGAGTGCGAGTTGATTGCTTGCCTCGGAAGCTCTGAGCGAGTCTGAGCCATCTCTGAGCCATCGGCTCCCGTGGCAGTGCCTCGAACGGGCGGCGCAGTGCTGCTACCTCGTACACCACGGCACCTTGCCGACGTCGAGCCGCGAACCGATCCTTGCTGTGCTGCTGTCGGCCCCACCTAGTGCCCAGCCATCGGCAGGTGGTCCGTACCTAGGGTCATATCCAGCAAGAGTCACAAGAGGTCTCCAGATTGGAGCTCTGAACAAAAGGGCCAGGCGCGTCACCGGAGACGAGCTCGGGAGCAAAGTAGTAAGGCCTGGCCGACTTTTGCGACAAGCCAAGGTCAAGGCAGGTCAAGCCACAAGTTGTCGCCACGCTGGGGATCGGACGTACCTACCAGGCTGTGAGCCTGCAGGGTCGTGGCTTCGACAAGCTTGGAGATGCCGAAGTCGGAGATCTTGATCCGGCCGGATCTCCTGTGTAATCTCAGCAGCCAGAGAGTCGGATAAGCATCAAGGCTTGAAGGTGCTGCGCCTTGAGAGCAGGATGTTTGCAGGCTTGACCTGCCCAGAACCGGAAGCATTTAAGGCTGCTGGAAGACTTAGAGGCTGTGGCGGCCAGAAACCACCAAGATCACAGCATTCTTGGGCGCATGTGAAAATTCTGCACAGTCAAGGAACGTCTCTGTGCAGGATGCCGACGCCATGTATGTACCTCAGGAAACTCCGTTGGCAGCACCAGCACATACTCGGAGTGGACATTCAGGGCTGTCTGAGCGGCACACTGCAATGCACCCCCGACCGCTGCGAGCACTCGGCGAGGAAAATGAGCATCAAATCCAGTCCCCGCCTCCATAAGTCCAGCAATGCGCCAGCTGATCCAAAACACCACGAAGCGACGAAGCGCCTCTCTTTGGCGCTCGATGAGGCCATGAAGGTCGCCTCCGTCCATGTATTCCAGCCTGGATTGTGATCTGATCGGGCGTTGAATCCTCCCTCTCCTCACCCCTCGGGCCCTGACACGAGACAGACCACCTGCCTGAGCAGTCTTCTCATAGCAGAAAGCACCAGCAACAGGAACAGGCAACTCGTGCTGGCGCTGCCGATCCATCTCGTACAAGACATCTTCGCAACTCACCTTAGATAGCAACATCTACGCAGGGTAGAAAGAAAATCAACCCTGTTTCACATGGCACAACTGAGCAGTCAGCGATGTGTGGATAGCGGAGCTCCTGGCCGTGCATGAGTGCTGACTTCGACTTCAGTTTTACCAGGGCTGTGTTGGAGTAAGACACTTAAGACTCAACAACCTACATCAGATGTCCAGCAAGGCACATGTGCTCAAGAAGCTAGGTCTTGCAGCCAGCCGTGGTGCAATTTAGCGGCAGCATCTCAGCATCAGAGGACTGAGTGCACTGTCGCACGGCCAAAAGGCTGCAAGATCCTCAAGCAACGCCGCTCCTGAAGCAGAGCCGCTTCGGCAAGGGCAGCCTGATGCAACAGTGAGCCTGATCCCGCACCTTCCTGCAAACACAACTGTCTAAGATGACCTCCAACGCAGGATCGGAGCTCTTGCTGCCGACGTCCTGCGGGGTATCTGAAATCTGAGCTTGCCTTTACATTACAGCCCTGCATGAGGCGCTGTGCTACCCAAGGAGGCCGGTCCCTTTGGTGAGCCGCATCGTAAGAGATTACCTGAAACATACCACAGTTATGAGGCGGCACCCCGCTGCTCCGGACAACGTCCCCCGCCTTCATGGCATGCCGTCCCTGCCGCTGCACCAGAAAGACCTGGCCGGAAGGAGATCTTTGCGAATAATCCGCCTTGCCCTCCGTTGCCGGAGAACACGAGTCAATGTATCCAGATTAACTACATCCAGCACTCTGCAGTGTGAGTCTAATGCAAGTGCTTGTAAGTTATGTTGCTAATCTCACATGCCGAACCTGTCCGAAAGCAGGGTGCAGGACAAGACATAGATGAACTGGAGTGAAGAAGAGTGTCGCAGAGAACTTCCTCCGACGACGACGAGAAGACCGCGAGTTGCCCCTGCTACATACTGCTCCTGTTTTTCTTGGCTTTGTGAGTTTGGGCGAACTCGCAGGACGGCACCTCGCCGTAGGCCCCGCGTCCCAGGAGTCGATCGATGGTAAAGCCGCCAATGGTCTCCCCGGTCTGTCATCAAGTTTAGGTCTGGCGTGCAGCAGTCGCAGTTTGAAAAGCTGGGCGCCCTTGTAGACAATCTGCCAGCTTTGCCCGGAATGCCATGGCGCACTGGCAACATGACAGACCACCAGCTAGGCAGCCTCTCTAGCACCAGGGTTCCCGTGCCACTGACGTCGGTGAGCGAAGTGTTCAATCATGTCTGAGCGTCGTTAGATTCATCGTCCGCTAAGGTTTCACCGATGATGCGACAAGCTGGGACGCAACTTGCAGCTTGGCTCCGTTTCCCCGAGCTAAATGAGCTAAATGAAGAACGCCAACAAATCACGGCTCCGCACTGCTGCCTGTTTTAGCCATGTTGGGCAAGCTTTCAGCACGTCGATGCAGGTTACTTCCGGCCCATCCAGCCACCCAGTCTGCTGCCAAGACCACCTGATCATCTGCAAAGCCAACAGAAAAAAACGGAGCGGAAGGGGCGTTAGCCTAAAATGGCAAACCTCAAGCTGGGGCCAATACCCAGCGCTCCGGCCACAGCAGCAACGGCCTGTCGGCCTTTGCCTTCGGAGGAGTGCCGCATCAGACGAGGGCCCCCTGAAGCCCGACGGACCTTCTTGCTTCTTCGGGAGAATCGCTTCCAGGTCGGGAGCCCTGAGAGCAGGTCCGGCCACAGCCACACACGAACGCCTTGGGGCCTTGGTAAAGGAGTCCCCTTGGGCCCGTGCTCGATGCAGGGGAAAGCCAAGTCGAAGAGCAAGGGCTGGCAGGGAGGGGATTCTAGAGCGGTTTCGCACTTCAAGCACTCGGCCAGAGGTCACCTTGCATGGAACGTCTCGAAATCTCGGAGGGAAGGTGGCCAGAACGTCCTGCGGAACAAGCGCTCTTGGAAACACCCGTTCTCACCAAGAGTCAGAAAATGGAGCTCCTGCTTTGGGTTCTTTGGCTGAACCAGGTCGGCCGTTTCCTGAGATCCCCGCATGGTCTCATGCAACGAGGTCCAAGAAGAAGCGCTCGGCCGCTAGGCGGCAAGAGCACAAAGAACATCGCAGGCCTCAGCCTCGGCGTCCTTCTTCTTCTTCTTGCTAGCCTGAAGAGTGCTCTGGTCTGCTTCATGCCAAAAAACCGAGTACAGAGGCAGGGTGCTCAACGTTGAAGCCTTGGCCAACTGGACCAAAATCCTGCAGCGCCAGCGTGCGACCCTCAACCTGAAGTCATCAGCATATCAGCTTGAGATCACTCCGCCCTCCCTCCTCAAGACATCTGGGCTTTCCGGCGGCAGCTGCTGCTGTATGTGCTGGAACAAGCCTTGAAGTCGAAGCAAAAGCCCAGGCTGCTCCTTTCCCGGAGCCTCGGCAAATGACTCGGAGGCTGTCCTAAGCCCCTGCGACGCAGAGTGCTCCTCGTCGACGCGGCTCGTCAGCATCTCCAAGAGAGCCGCTGCCTGCGGCGCAAGGGCATCCCAAAGCGTGGATACAGCGCTGGGCTCTCGGCCGCCTCCAGCAACTTGCCCAGCGCCGCATGGCAGAGGGCCAGGTAGAGGCATCGATAATCAAGAATAACCTCGTCCATGTCATGGGAGCACGAAGTTTCTTAAAGAATTGTCAAGCACGGCTTGCACGCCTTCTTGTAGACCCCGAACGTTTCCTGAAAAGTTCAAGGTGCTATTCTCTGCAGCCTAATCTCAAACGAACCTACCTTGCGCAGAACATGACCGAGCCTCTATGTCCTCAGAAGACTCGGGTAGCTGAGAGAGTGTCGCCAACTCCTCCTTCACGAGCTCGCAGAAGCGCATCCCCTGAAGGAAATCAGGGCCCTTGCACTTCGGATCGATCAAAAAGCTGGCGCTACTGGCCTCCTCTGGCCGACACTGGCGCCGGGATTCAATGGTGCTCACATCCTCGATCTCATCCAGCTTCCCCAGGTGGCTCCTCCAACGCAAGGGCCCTCAGCGACTCTGCTCATGCACTGTCGTTCCATCATGCTTCCGGTCCTCAACAAGATCAGATTTCGCTCGACACCTCAGGAGCGATCAGGCTTTCCCTGCGACAGTTCTCTCACCTCATCCGGACTCACGAAGAGCGGATGCGATCAGCACATCTGCAGCCCAGCGGCTCACGCAAGACGAGGCCTCCCGGATGAATGCCTGCAATTCTGCGTCAGGGACCCCCAGCTCCAACAAAGGCTTTGTCTGGCCTCCACAATGCGCCAGTCCGCCGTGTCGCTGTCAGCTCCGGCTGCGATCATCTCAGAGTGAACATCCTGGCAGCACTGGCTGGCACATAATGGCACATAGCAAGTTTCCCTCTTCCCTGCCTTCAGTGCATCGCCATACTCCACGGAGAGCTCACCTCAACACAACCCCGAGCTCTCAATGTCTCTGAGCCATCCAGAAACTGAGTTCCTTACCATACTTCTCGGCGAAAACAGCTCCGGGGGGATTCTCCGTAGAGTCTGCCTCGGCCTGAGAGCATCGCGCGGCCTCCGCGCTCACTCTGTGCCGCACCGCGCTCTGTCCGCGCCTGCAAGGCTTTCGTCATCTCGAAGCACTTCCTCGCGGAGAGGAGGCAGAGGCGCTCTCAGACTCTCAGATCTCGCGGCGCTGCTCCGAGGCGGCTGCATAACTTTGGATCTGATCTTCTCGGATGGAATCGACACGGCGTGGCTGCGGAACACAAGGTCCCCATCCCGTCCCTGACCACGAAGCTCGTGGGTGCCAGCATCCGTCTGCCTGATTTTTTGACACAGGCCTTGTCGACACCAGTCGCAGTTGCCTCACGAGCAGCGAGCAAGCACTTGCAAGAGCGTCCATGGCGACGTGTGTAGACACGAACACTTTCTGATGCCCGCCTTTCCGAGCCCATCTTCATCCTGCTCCGCCTCTCCAAGATTGTACCTGCGTGGCTTGCTGGCACGGCGAGCACGGCCTGCTGCCCGAAAGACCAAAGCGCCGGGACCCAAGAAAAGTATCACACACCAGCTGCCTGCACTCCCGAAGCATCGGGGCGAGCTCCTGGTCGCTTGGCTTAGCATCTCAGCGGGATGGTCGGGTTGGGAACCCCGAATGGCACCTGGAGATATGTTCGGAAGGCGGAGGCTTCCGCCTGGCTGGGAGGCCGAATACCAGCTCGAATGGTCCGGAATCTCATCCAGGATGAGCCTGGTCTGCAGCCAGCAGGAAGTGCTCGAAGAGCTTCTTGCTGCGTGCCAGCTTCGTCTTGGCCTCGAGGGCTCCGTAATCTTCCATAGCCCCGAGTGACCGGCTTATCTGTAACCCTGCCTCAGTCCAGTTCTCGCGCTCCGTGAGCCATGTTCCTGCGACAGGATTCATCCAAACTGAAAGAGGCAACGGACGAGAAGCTGCGCAGCAGGCCTGACATGAAAGCAGCATAAGCCTGCAGGGCGCTGAAAGCTTGTTGCAGATGTTCCCTGACACCCACGAAAGCATGCAGAGTCGACCTCCGCTTCAAGCTGGGTGCGTTGATCGCAATGCACTTTGCACACCTCGGATATGATGCCTCCCTGCCTCCCTCACAGAAACGTCCCGCACCAAAAAGGACCGAGACAACTGCTGCCTCTAGCTGCTTGGCATATTCGCAAGCCTTCGCCAGCCTGGTGGATTCGCACGTCCCCTTTGGCAAGTAACAGCGGAAAAAAAAAAAAAAAGAGGTCCCCACTTGCGTTCTGAGTGGTGTCGCCAGCGTGCATTAAAGGCCTGGAACCCATCTGTGAAAGTCTGGTGTGGGCAGTCAGCATCGAAGCTCAGCGGCGCACTGCAGCCGCTGCATTGTCTGCTTTCAACTGTACCTGAACGCAGAAAGGAGTCCACGCAGACTTCTCTTCTGTGCTTCTCACTGGCTCACCCCGAAAGCCCAAGCTCGCTCTGACTGCACCAGCGGAATGAAAATCCATTTCGGATCGTCGAAATTCTCCGGGAAGGTCGCCTCATACTCAGACGGATCAGAGGGCAAAAACGGATCTGCAGAAGCCGGGCCTGCTTGAAGCGGCCTTTCCCGTGCTTGAAGCGCAACTGGACGTAGAGCCGGCGGAGGCGGCGGCTGCAATACTGACGATACCTCTTGCGGGGAAACTGTTGAGGGCAGCTTGCTGCTTGTTAATGTCGGTGCTTTCTGCACGCCGAGCACCTCAAATGATCGTTGTGACGCAGGCCATTCAGGCTGCGATGAACCTGTGGACTGGCAGGTGCCGGACAGGATGGCAACTGCGCTGTTCCAGAGCATAGGGAAACTCAAGGCCGGTCCTGCACAGTCGTCAGGATCTTGACAGCGAACGGATCGTGTGCTTTGGCCTCTGGCTCCTGTTGGACAGGCGGCCATTCTTCATGCAAGCGAGCACGTTGCAGCGGCGTTATTCATTGATTACCGCATGTTGCCTGTGTTTGTACTTCAGGCACTTCTTCGCTGGCCTCAAGCTGCACGCTTTTATGCAAGGACTTCACTGCACGCATGTGAGCAGAGAAATCGACCATTTGGCTGTCAACGAAGAGGGGGTGCCTCGGGCTCTTTCCCGGCTCTGTCAGAAGGGCTCATACAGCACGCTTCGTCCGTTTCTGAGGCCAAAGACCGCAAGCCAATGAAGGCCGCCCTTGATGGGTCTGCACCAGCGTTGCACACGTTGAGCTATCTTCAAGTCGGTATCTGCCCCCAACTTGCAACAGGAGTGTCACGGGAATGCTTGTCTGTTTTCATCACCACATGAAACAGAGCAAACATGGTGTTTTCAACGGTTGATTCTCTGAGCCTCAGGGCTTTCTGGGCAGATGCAAAGCTGGATCCAGGAAATCCAACTGAAAGTAGCACAGACTACCAGAAGATTTGCTGGAAAGAGGTATCTTTTTCGGGCTGGCAACGGAAACCGTCGAACGAATTTAGCCGCATTCGCAGCTAGTGACACAGACCACTGCGTCGGGCCGCCCCAACCGTGGCAGAGAGTTTCCGTGAAAGCCTGCGTGGCCTCCGGTGCAACCGCCACCAGGGAGCACAGCAGCTGTAACTGCAACTTGGGAGTCTGGCTCCACCACACGCACGTCTTGCAAGAAGGGAGACGAATCCACCAAGTCTCTCGAACATCGGGTCTTGCATGGCCCTTGGCCAAACTCAGTCTGCCTTCTCGAGAGATCCTTTGCTTTGGGACCAGAAAGCAGCTCCCAACGAGCCTGTGCCTATGGCCCTTGCTTTGCTGTGGACTTTTCAAGACTTGAGCGCAACAGGCCAGGCTTGAAAGATGCTGCACTTTAAGGGCTGCAGGCCACACTGTACAAATGCGGTGGCCGCAAGAAAAGGCGCTCCGGCACGCAGCTTAACCTGAACCGTACATAGACATAAGGCAGCCAGCGAAAAGATGTGGTCAATCCAGGCACGGGGCTCGCTTGGTGTCCCAGGAGTGGGGTGACGCGCTCCACCAGCACCTCCCGCACCAGTAATCGTACCTTGCAGTCGGAATGATTCCTCTGTGGTGCGACGCGAGAGGATGGCGAACCGGACTTGGTTGAAAATTGCCTCCCGCGCGTTGACCATGGTGAGGTCACAGAAGAGCGGGAACAACTCGTGGATATGCCTGGAGTTGTTTGTAGCGGGCCATCATAGAATGCCGAAGAGGCAGTGCGCAGGACGGCTGGAAAGGCCAGGACTGCTCAAACAGCTTCTGTGGAAGGTCCTTCAAGCCCTTCACCACTACCTCGGCAGGATGGATGTTCCACTACTGCTAGAGCAGACCGTAAAGCGTGGCAGCAACCACCAAGCACCTCGGATGCCTGGGCTACCGGCTTCTGAGATGATCGGCACTATGCCAAGAACCTCACCAGCAGAATCTGACAAGACAAACACAGCCCGAAACTTCAGCGGGCTACAACGCAAGGGGCCTCTCTTTCCATTTCCACAATTGCAGCCTGCCAGTCTGTACTACTCGTCTTCGGCTTGTTCCATGTTATCATCTGCACTCCTACGGGTGTGTGCGAGTGTGTGAGCGTGTGTGCCTGTCTGTACATATGCTTTCATTAACAGATAGCTATACACGCCGTAGACATCGAGTTGTGTGTGTATATATATATATATACATACGTACATACATACATGTAAACA